AATCTTTATTTTTACAGTACAAGCTTTAAGTTTTTGTGAAATAGAGCTAATTGGTTATTTCTTCATGAATTGTGCTTTGGTGCTATATCTAAAATCTCTGTCAAACTTAAGATCACCTAAATTTTCTCCTGTTATCTTATAGAACTTCTTTTTTCTAAATAGTCAGTTGTGTCAGGAGAAAATGAAGGCAGTTTTATTTCTTCCTTTCCAATCTGAAAGTTTTGTATTCCCTTTTCTTACCTAAGACTCCCAGAGTTAGGTTCAATAGGAAATATGATATCTATATCCTTATCTGGGTATTAGTCTTAGGAAGGGAAAACTTTTATCTCTTTTTCCTTCCTTTCTTTTTCTTTTTTTTTCTTTCTTTCTTTTTTTTTTTTTTTTTTTGGGTAGACTTTCTCTATGCAGTTGAGGAAGTTACTTTCTATTCCTTCGGATGAAGGGGGAAAATACATTTTCTTCTTTTCAGCTTTGAAAATTTGTGAATTTTGATTGTTTCTGGTCAGAATCTCTAACCTTAAAGTGCATCCCTCTAAACTCTACTTCTTTTTTACATCTCCTCTTTATGATCTATTGTTTTCTTCTTAATAAGTTGCTCCCTTATTAATATTTGCTAATCATTACATTAGGCCCACTCATATAATCCAAAGACTATTATGTGAAATTCCATGGTGGACTTGAGCTGGTCCACCAAGGACAAGAATGTTGATAGTGGTAGTCTTTGTAGAGGTTCAGAGGAGCTGAGGTCTTCACAACAATTTTAAAGTGACATCTAGAGCTTGGAAGACGTTTCAAGAAGAGAGAATAGTATATACAGAAGCTAATTTAAGGCAGGAAAAGTGCTTGAGGAGTTGAAATAAGATCAGAGGCAAGAGTATGGAGAAAGGGAGAATGACATGGATGGACCTCAGAGGTAGACAAAGGCTCCATGTTAAGGGCTTTTGATCTACCTTGCCAGTTTTCACTGGTAACCATGAATGACCATGGTTATATGTAGGTTTTAAAGGGATCACCATGATAATAATATTTCTTGTTTTAAAATATTTGATATTCCCTTATAGCCTGATTATATCCCACAATAATTTTTGTACTACTATGCTCTCCTTCTGACTAAAAATATTCTGTCAAGATTTTCTTCCTATAGGCTTTATGCTTTTGGAAAATAGCACATGATATTAAATGTGCTTTTTTCATACTTTGGAAGGCATCTAAGTCAGGAAAATGCCTATTCCCTGTCCTTTATGTTGGTCTCAACCCTCCACTCTTCATGCATGAACACACTGCTTCAATCCCTCCTCCTCCCTCTCTGTCCCAGGCACACATACAGTTAAGAATCACCATATTACAGGGTAAAGACTAAATTATTAGTATTTAATGGCATACTTTCATGTTCTTTCCTCTGGTCTCTACTTGCTTTATGGCTAATACTTCACTGTGGGCTCCCTTTTATTATTATTAAACCTCCCTACACTATTTGGCATTTCCCTAATACATCATAAACCTTAATATAACTTCTCAAAAAGATTTCAACTGTGTTATACTATCAGCCCACATTAAAGGTTGAATACCTACAGTAAATTCACAAGTATGTGAATACTTTATCCCATGCCTTTATCCCTTTGTCTAAATATTTAGAGCACATGAGAAGTACTTGTCTTACCATCTTACCTGTTTTTACTAGCTACCAGTTGTTCTGTATCTGACAGCACTGTGCACAGAGTTACAGTTTGTGTTTCCCATTTAGGCTTAGGAAACTTAAATGGGAATGTATTTGAAATGCAAGTCTAGGAATTATATCAATCTACTAGGGAAAATTCTTATATAATTATTATTATTACCAGAATTATTTTCTTATATTTTAATTTTGCTAAGAGTACATGACTTATTATTTTAATTATCTTACACATGATGGGTTTGTTATGTGTGTGTGTGTGTGTGTGTGTGTGTGAGAGAGAGAGAGAGAGAGAGAGAGAGAGAGAGAGAGAGAGAGAGAGAGAGAAGAGAATGCATAAGGAAAAGTACATGGGACAGTTGTGATTAATAAATTAATATTAAATGAATACCATAATAACCATCTACAGAGTTAAAAAATAGCAGCATTATCATTCCACCAGCAACTCTGCATGACCCTTTATACTGATAACTGCTCCCTTCCCCCTAAAACTACCAAATATTCTGATTTTTATAATAAACATGTGTTTCCTTTAATTATGTTTTCACTAATATGATTGGAATTTTTGGATGTGTATTCTTTTATGTCCCTTCTGGGATTTTTTTTTTTTTTTTTTTGGTCCCAGTCAGAATCCTGAAAGGCACAATCCTGGATGCCATAATACCAAATATTGAAACCCTGAAAGATTAACATTTCTTAAGTCAAAAAGCACAATCTTGACACATTCACCTCTTAAATGTTGTAATAATGAAAGGCAAATCCTGAGAAACACAAGTTCCATTGAGGAGAAGTAACAGAGGGGTAGAAAACCGAACTTTGGGGAAGGGTTGTTGAAAGGGTTGTTGTAGGAGCAAATACTCAGCAATCTGGAAGAGTACTATTTAAACTTGTGGATGAGGATGTTTCCAGAGGAGATTAGCTAAGAGCTGAGCCTCCTTTTACTGACATCCAAGTGTCTGGTTGCAGATGGCCTGCAGCTGGACTTCTCAGCCACTATAGTCAATTCCCCTAATAAATCTCATCTTATGTAGCTATTTTCATCTTATGGTTTCTGTTTCTTTGTTATATGGAGCATTACCTATTATCTAGGGAAAATCATGTTTTGATCATTGGTTAGCCTTCATGTTCATCTTTTGAGTTTAAGAAGTTGAAAATTTTCTCTAGTCTCTTGGTCATATCTCTTGGATCATTTAAATGTCCCCTGGGTAGAAGTGATCTCTTGTGACGGCCTCACATTTCTAGGATTTCAGCATCTTTTGAATGTTAGACTTAGTTTGCCTTTAATACCTATAGTTCTTTGAAGTCTTATAAAGATACATTTCTCTGTTTTTGAAAGTTGGTTTTGGTAAGAACATAGGTCTAAATTATCTAATCTGTCATTACTCAAATTGCATTTACTTTTATTCTACATATTAACAATCTCAAAACCTTTATGGGTGATTTAAGATACATGTATGTTCCTCAATCTAACAAATATTTGATATTGCATGCTAGCATTCTGATAAGCACCCTGGGGTATATGAAGATAATTAAGAGATACAATCACTGAGGAGTTGGTGAATATACCTACTATACTAAATACTGGTGAGCTATACAATAAAATGTAACATGAAGCTCACATTCTTCTGAAGGAAATAGAAACTTTTCAAAATAACACGATTGTCAAACATTCCAGTTTGATTGTTAAGCTAGTATTTTCAAAGATCTAAAGGCTTCCTTTGCCAAAAATATCATTGTACCCCACTTTAAGCATATTCCACAAGCATAACAAAAAAGTAGCTTGTGTTACTGTTAAGAGTAGGAATCTGGAAACAAATAGACTATTCAAATACTGCCCTCACCCTCCACAGGTTGCTTGACCTTAGATAAATTACTTAAATTCTGTACGATTCAGTGTGCTTATGAATAAAATAAGACTAGAAATAAATGCATCTATTTCACAAGACATCAAGACTTAATATTTATAAGCAACTTTAGCACTTAGAAATTAGAAGCATTATGCAAAATATGTTGAAGATCATATTTGTTAAGCGTGTTGTGATGGCTAATTCCATGCATTGACTTGGCCAAGCCATAGTACCCAGATATTTGTTCAAATTTTATTCTGATTGTTTCTGACATTAAATCTAATTTACATTTAAATGAGTGGATTTGGGGTAAAACAGATTTCCCTCCAAAATATGGATGGGTCTAATCCAATTAGTTGAGGGCCTGACTAGAAAAAAGATGGACCTCAGAGGAAAAGCAAGGGGGACTAGTGCCAACTGCCTTTGGACTTGAGTTGCAATGTTGGTTCTCCTGTAGGTCTCCAGGCTGCTGCCCCTTTCTGCCCATTTGAGACTCACCAAATGCCACAATCATTTGAGCCAATTTCTTAAGTATGTCTCTGTATGCGGAATATATATAAATGTGTGTATGTATCTATAATATGCATGTGTATCTATTATAGAATAGAATATATACATGTTCTAGTAGAAATCTTCTAGTTTCTATATTCTGCTAATTTTATTTCTCTAGAGAGCACTGACAAATACTTGAACATAATTTTTCATTATGTTCCTAATGCAGATAATGTAGCTGATGATATGAGAGTTCATACTATGAAAGATATTACAACACCTTAATTTTCACTAGTTTGGACCATGGTCCCAAGCTTATCAGGGCTTACCTTATACTTTTTTTATTGGTAATAACTATAACAGGCCAACACTTATGGTAGAGCTCCATGATCCCGGACTTGTGATGGTGTTCTTTTTATGAGATAGCATCCTCTTGAATAAAGATGAAACTCAGAGCTTGCTTCTAACCAATTTAATTTAAAAAAATGTAGTAGGATGTGTGTGTTTATATGTATTTAATTACACTCCTTGGAATCATCACATATTCACTTCATCTTATGTAATTTGTTATCTCTATTTCTCTATGTCCTAGGTTATATTCCAGGGAGGCTTAAGTCCTGAATTCCTTCCTTGGCCTCTTTCTCTAATGTATGCCCCCAACTCTCTCTTAAAAATCAAATAAGAAGGAAAAAGAAGAGGATGGAAGTGGCCAGATGCTTTATTTTATGCAAATCCTGATTGAATTATTTGCTACTTTGTGTTGAACTTATGAGTTTACCCATTATCTCAAATAGGTTGCAATATTGTGGGGGTCAGAAAAGGTATGTTAGTCATGTTAGTGTCTAGAATTACCAGAAACTGGTAATTTTTTTACCTTTGTTTAATATGTACATATTAACTACAAATATTTAATTCGATTGGAATTTCACATGAAGTATTCATTTACACTTAATGCAGGAAACTAAAAAAATTCACACAGAGAAACAGAATTTAACCATAAAGAGTTTGGACATTTGCTCTCCTTTTTATTGCCATAGTAACAATGTATTTTTCAGTGTCTGTATACTATTCACCAGTTTTCCCCTTTGCTGTCTTTAAAAATAAGAAGAAAACAGTGTCCATCTGGAAAGAAAAATAAATAAATAAGAACAGTATTACATATAATTCAAGATTTAAAAAATGCAGTTATTTTACCAGGTTTTACCATGTTCACAAATAGCAAAAGATGTGTAATAAAGTCTAGCAGCATTAATATCTAAACACAACTGGAAATTTCTTAAGTTTCACATGAATGATGACCACTCACCATGATGAGTTTAAAGGTTGGTGACTCTCTTTCTACAGGAAACCATGGTAACACGGATACTTAAGTTCTTTCCTGACAATGTCACAAACCTGAGGTTACTGTACATTTTAAGTCCTGCCTCCATCACTGTGCCAGACACCAGAGATGTTGCCCTCTCCATGAGAATGCTGCACAAAAATGATGTTCCTTAATGATGATGTCTTTGTGCAATCTAATTTGCAATGTCTCTAACTCAAAAAGACTATTTCTCATTTTAACAATATACGTAAGATTAGGAATATTTTCATTTCATATATAATATATATACTTTATTACAAAAGGAGAAAAACTAAAACTTGCTACGTGGGTAGTAAAGGAGGGAATGAATATTATGTGTATGTATGGATAAGTATATGTACATGTATATGCATAAATGTTTTATATACATACATAAATAAATTTTACTCTACGTGTATGTATATGTGTATACACAAAATATTAAGCAAACATATTAATAGTATGAAATTAATGAATTAAGCATAACCCACATAAACACTGTCCATGTGCATAGAGCAAAGTATTATTCTACCTTTGTAAAGGCAAAAAAAAAATGTTCTTATTTATATTACTACAAAGAATAATTTGTGTCCCTGATCTATTAACTAAGCAAAGTCAGGGAGAGAGGTGCGAGATAGCTCAAATACCCAGATATTTGTTCAAATGTTATGAACCAGGCACAATGAATTTGACATTATTTAGATTTCCTATGTAAATCACAGATATATCAATGAGTACTGCCTTGTGGCCTTAGTTATGTATAAATGGAAATGATGGTCAAAGTCTGCTATTGCCTCTAGATTTGAGATTAAGGAGCAAATATATTCATTCATATGAAAAGTAAATTATAATCTTCTATATCCCTATGGTTTTATTTTAATGTTAGTTGTTTTCTAGATGAAGAAGGGCGTTACCTACAGGATGTCATTTGAAGGTTGCTAAAAATGTTTATCCATCCCACTCCAAAATGCTTTTCTCATAGTTACAATGGTAACATTTGAAATTTTCATGTTACTTAATGTCTTGGCTTCAAGACCTTCTATGCCCTGATAAATTGAATGATCAATTTATGTTTTTGCCGTGTCTTAAAATTTGCAAAACTTTATTTGCATTTATTATTGAAATTAACTTTTACTGAAACCTGTGATTTTGGCATTATAATCTTGATTATTTCAAGGTTGTAAGACTGATCCCAGTCAGATCTGAGGCGTGAATCCAATGCTTGTTAATCCGATGTGCACGAGCAGCACCAGTCATTTCATGATGCATGGCCGACTAAAAATGATAACTAGAAAGGTTTCCCCCATTAAAAAAAAAAACCATAGGCAAATTAAATTAGCTCCTATTATTAAAGGTATATCTCAGCATAAATGAATACAGGGAAATAAAGATGAGAAATTTCAAAAAGAAAATTCCATATTATAAGAAGAAGTCTAGAGGGAAGTATAAATAATTGTGTTGACTATTGAGAGAGATCACTATGTTATCACCAGATTTCTCAGAGTTAGTAAAGGACTAAAGGAGGAAAAGTAGCATAAAAAACGACACAAGGAACTATTAAGGATTTTTTGTGTTACAGCCCCATTCCACACTCATGTTTCCCTGTTCTCTAACTTATATTTTACAGTTTAATCATAAATTTACTCATTCCTTCAAACAATAGACAGTTACTATGGATCAGATATTCCAGGTACTAGGAATGTATGAGTAATCAAAGAGATGAAAAGTCCTGCCACCCAGAAAAATAAATTTCAATCAGAGACATTAAAATGTGTATGCATCTTCCATAATATATGTTCTCCATCATCTATGACCTCTCTGTCTACAATCCCTGCTTTTCCTCTTCATCTAGGTAATGCTTATAATTTTTTACTATTTTGCTTAGTTCTCACAATTTCCAGGAAGTCTTCCTGAATCTTTCAGTCTGGATGATGTCTCCTTATCTTCTGTGCCTGCATATGTGCTCTAATAGAACATGACATATTTCTTCTCCTTTGTCAGATTTCTACTTAAAGGCAGGGAATAGGTCTCCTCTGAATGTGTATCATAACAAATACAATGCCTTATACACTTGCACAATAATTCTGTTGACTGAAACAATAAGCTTTCTTTTCAAATATATCTAACAGACATCCTACTTTTTTTCAATATATATTTCTGTCTTACTGATTAAATTTCAGAAAATGTTTAGCTAACTTTTCCAGTCATTTGGTCTTCATTGATCTAATGCCTAGATAATCTGTCAAATTTCTACATCCACTCAGAACCATGTGGACATTTCTTCTTTCCCATAAAGATCCTTGAACCAGAAAAAGAAATGTATGAATCAATTACTTTAACAGAAATACAAGATAGCATGTCACTGACAATTAACTATCTATGGTTTTACATTGAAATTATTGTTACTATTGCATAGTAACAATAAGACAATTTCTGGTGAAACAAATATTTACACATGTAAATATGAATTTGGTTATACATACATACACATATACACAGGTAATGGTTGACATTCTTATTACCCTTTTCAAAAGCTTTGAGCAGCACATTAACCCAAAGATAATGTTTAAAAAGAACAAATCCCAAGCTCATTAGAAAGAAAAATTACCTATGGAGCTGGAGTCGATCTCATATAGCCAGAAAAATTGGGGATAGCAACTTGAATAATGATCCGGAAGACTGACAGAGTAATTGATAGGCTTCTGTAAACCCATGGGGCTCGTAGAGGATTTCTCCGTTCTCTTTCTTGAGTCACAGCAACTGGCATTGTTCTTTCAATCTGCTGCTGAAGTGTATTAGGCTATGTGATGAATTATCATGGATTTTTCTTGTACTAATTTAAATAAAGTAGAAAAATACTATTAGACATATACAATAGTGTCATTGTATTTAATAATTATCACTTCTAATTGAGATTTATTTACTTATTATCTATTGTTATCAGTAGAGCATGATTTGATTATTCTAAAAAGCCCCTGAAACAGTTGCTGACGGCATCTATTATTCTATCTTTACCCTTCTCTTCTTAACTCTTGCTTTAACATCAAATGGTCCTTAACTCGAGTAACAACCTCAGTACTACGAGAAGTCATGGTGTGTAGCAAGTAGGTGAAGTACTAACTTTGCTTCTCTGTGACTTAACAGTTAGGTGACCTTAGCTGAGGTATTTACCTGCTTTGTGCTTTCTCACTTGTGAAAAACCTGCCTTCTTGTATTGTTATAAAGATTGAATGAAACTGCATGCAAAGCAGCTGGAACACTAAGTACCTTTAAGTGTAGCTCTTGATAGACTGTGTTCTCACATTATTTATTCATCTTTATGGTAACAACAAGCAGAGAGGAAAACAGAGTCTATTTTGGAACCCTAATGTTCCACATGAAGAAACAGTTACTAGCCCAAATTCACTTAGCTAGAAAGGCCTAGAGACAATGATCTTTACACTATAACCAAAGTAATCTGGTCCCAATAATTTATAGATTAATACAAAGGAATATGTAGGAAGGAAATAATAAATGTTGGTTTTTATTACATGCCAAGTTCTGTGCCAAGCATTTAATTTCCATTATTTTATATAATCTTCACCATGATCCTGAAAGATGGACACTTATTATTTTAAGAGCTATTTTAGGTGCGTGGAAGTTAAGCAATTCGCCATTGTTCAACCAGCCAGTAAAGTGATGAATTTTAGAATAAAATCCAGACAATAATAACTTTAAAATCTCTAATCCTTTTCCCTGATTATGCTGCTTCCTTACTTAGAGGAGTTTTTCTTTGAATAAATTATGCCAAATCTTTTATTTGGTCTGAGGAAATCAAGCAATCTATTCAAGGCAAAGACAAAACTCAAACTGCTAGTATCCTGGGTGCTCATGAGGTTTGCCTTCAACTTTTATTTCCTTCTTATATGGTATTTATGTGTTTCAATAATCTTTCTTAGTCTCTAAAATCCCCCAATTTTTCTGGGCTTACATGACCTTGGGTCAGACTTTCTATTAAGAAGAGATCACCAGGTTCTAGCCCTTGGCTCTCAGCTCTTTTCAGTTAGATATTTGGCAAGGTGCAACTCAATGTCTTCATCACTTTCTTATATTGGCTTACAACGTGAAAAATGCTAGTGAATGATTTCAAATTACTTTGCCATGTATTAAGTGACAACAGGAATTGTAGCTACTTATGTCTAATAATGGTCTTAACGGAAACATTTAAAGCTAAGTATATCATACAAAGACAGGTGATGATTATTTTAAAAACATATAAATAAATAAAATCCATCTTTTTCTCAAAGTCTGTATTTGTTAGAGTCTACATATCTTTAGTTGCCCAAGTAAAAGCACCCCTTTGTTTTCCTTTTTTTAAATTAAAAATAAAAGAGATATCCACCTTTTCAGATCATCTATTCTTGGAACTGGTTGCCTTAGAAATCCTCTAGTTCTTCAAATTAATAGCCAGGGAGTTTTAATTATGGCCCTTTCCTCAGGTATGTAAAATGTAGTTGTCATAATAGCTGAATTTTAACAGAGATGATGACATCGTAGCATCATAATAGAATTGAGAATTCTCAGTTCTGTTAATATGTAAGAGCTGTTAGCAGTTTCAAAAATTACAGCAGGCTTTAATAGATAAATGCAAACATGTTAAGAAATATAACTGATTTTAGGATG